TTTAAGGCTTAGGGTTTAGGGCCTAGGTTCAGGATTTAGGGTTTGAAATTCAGGGTTTAGGGCCCAGGTTTAGGATTTCGGGTTTAGGATTTATAGGGTAGCAAGAGCAAACATTGAATCCAAATCTTGGGCCTTGGTCACCAGCTCTGGAAAACTCTCCGCCTCCTCCATGCATGTTCCTCAGAATCACATGAAGTCTGCATCGCTCAGGCATGCCTGTTTAGGGTTTAGGGTTTCGGGGTTAGGATTTAGGGTTTGGCTTTGCTGTCGATTTGGCTTGTGGTGTTTGCAGATTCCCGCTCCAGTTAGACTCGCCGAGTGAGGAGAACACAAGAGAACATGGCACCAAAGATGCAAAAGGCTCTGGCGGGCACGCTGTAATTCCATAAGCGGAAGATTAAGAATGGGTATTCAGCTTCGCAGAGATCTAGTCAACAGGGCACACCCTCCACCATAAGTGCCTTAAGCCCCAAGCCTGAAAACTCTGCATCGTCAAATCCGACATCAGTGCTGGAATACACGTGTATTGCGCAGGAAAACACACCACGTGGCCTGAATGCATCTAGACGGCGTCCGAAACTCTAAACCCTTACACCCTGAATCCGTCCTGAACCCACACAAAGTCTTGACGACAAACTCCGAGGCAATTTTGTCAAGGAGCTGAACTCTTCCATCCGCTCCTTGTACACTGCCACACCATCGGAATTTTCCGCTGTCTGCCTGAGCTTTCGGCAGACTGTCAATAATAGCCGATGATGGTAATGTAATTGTTGCGGTGTTTTATCTCTTTCTTGTTCCCTAAGGGTCCATGTACTCATATAGCAGATACATTGGCCTCAACCTAGTTCCTATTTGGGTAATTTCGGGTCTAAGATTATACTATATGGGTACATGGACCCTTTAGGGTTACTGCTTGCGACTCGGTGTGGTGGTCACGGTAAATGTAATAAACGGCTAATACTCCGCGGTGGTGGTAGTGGCACGAGTACCAAACGCAGCATCTGCTCCGCCTACGGCTCCAGCACTTCTGTGTCTTCCGCTTCATTATGATTTAGGGTTTAGGGTTTAGGATTTAGGGTTTAGGGTCTAGGATTTAGTCCTTCCGTTATCGTCCAGGGATATCGGGTAATGAATCCTTCACCCAGGCGCTTCGGAAACAATCCCCTCATGTAGAGTCCGATTACGTCTAAATGCTGCGTTGTGCCAGCATCATGTACGTCTCTGTCGGCAAGGGTAGGAAAGGCTGAACTATGCCATGTGCGACGCAACCTGAGCCGATGGCCTTAAGAATTAGAATATGGTTTTGAGGGTTCCTTATTAAAACTCTAGTATAGTAAACCCCCAATCCCTATTCAATCTTTAAGGGCTATATTAATTCCTATATCAAAACCACTGCAACCTATAAAGTCACCGACCTGCCAGCCTTGAAATATAAAGCCTTCAGATCCTGCGATGTCAGTGCAGGCGAGGTTCCCAGGGTCCTCCCGGGGTTCGTTCGCTTCTGCTGCATCGTCCGCCGGGTCCTGAAACCGCTTGGCTGTGCAGCTGCTGATAAAACTTGGGCTCCGAGCAGCTGTCACTAGGGTTTAGGTTTTAGGGCTTAGGGTTTAGGGGTGTAGGGGTTTAGGGGTTTAGGGTTCAGGGGTTCAGGGAGGGGTTTAAGGTTTAGGGTTTAGTGTGCTTTCTTTCTTGAATGTCACACGAGGCTGCAGGAGCCTTCCGTAACAGTTCCTGTACATCCTATACACGTTCAACCTCAACCTGCAGTTCAATTCAACATCAGCAAACCACCCTGAACCTATACGGAAAGGAGCCATAGTGACCCTGAATTAGAACAGGCAACTAAGGTGCCCCCAATTCTCGCAAAGCCCAAACACAAAGCTTCAGATCCTAGAAAGCCACGGCTGGCTGCAGCTTTGCCACGCAGGCGGGGGGCTTGAGGGTTTGGGGATTTGGGGCATTTTGGGTTTAGGGTTTGGGGTTTTGGGGTTTGGGGTTTAAGGGTTGGGGGTTTAGGGTTTAGGGGTTTGGGGTTTAGGGTTTTGGGGGTTTTGGATTAGGGGAAACAGGGGTTACGGTATGTAGGGTTTAGCATTCCGCACGAATCCTAGACCGTTCACGCCGCCTCCAATCGAAACTCTCCGCATCCATATATGGGTAGTTCTCTAAATTAGGGTCCCTTATTAGGTCCCCATTCTAGTACGGCACCCTTATACTAAGGACCTTAAAAGGGACCCCAAATTTGGACAACTACCTATATCATAAAAGCCTAGAACTACTGGGTTGCACTTCAGGGCTCCCAGAAGCATTTATGAAGCGGTACCTCTATCGAACCATCAGGGGGAAGTAAAAAGTGCCCGAAAGCCCCACCTAGGTTATCCAGAGAACCCAATACCCCTGAATTTAGGAATGTACCTTAAATCATAATCTTAAGGCCCCCATAAGTCAAGGTATATTGCTTAATTAAGGTGTATTGGGTTCTCTGGCGGGTTTATGAGTCCTTCAACAAGGGCTGTCTAAGAGCTCCCGGGTCCCTTTAAAGGGTTCCCTAAGGGTTCTCCTCCATGGGTTCCTTTGAGGGTGCTACAGGGTTAAGGGTTCAGGAGTCATCAGTCGACACTGAGGAGCCGATATGTCGCGAAAGCCTTTGTTTGATCCTCAGAAGGGCCTGTATTGGAACCCCCGAATATGTGCGGTTTAGGGTTTAGGGTTTAGGTTTTAGGGTTTAGGGTTTATGGTCAAGGACTACTTCTGTACGACCGCACTGAAAGAAAGCCATAGTGCCAACTGGTGGATCGCAAAGCGACCAAGCATTCGGAAGACCCTCTGAGGCAGATGCTTACATAGTAAGGTACGGTGCCCAAAAACCCGCACATTAGCCGGGTAGTCCCCTAAACCCTAAACCCCTAAACCCCAAGCTGCGGAAACGGACAATATAGGTAACCAGGCTTGTGGGGAAGTTAACACCTTACAGCCCCCCTAAAGCACTAAACCCTAAAGCCCTAAACCCCAAAACCCTAAAGCCCGAAACCCTACAACCCGAAACCCTACAACCCTCAAGCCCTAAACTCGGGGGAGGTATCTGGGCTCCTACGGAAAGATGTCTCAGGTTGTACAACCCGGCACCTTCGTCTCGGCGGGGGTGTCGAAACTGAACTGCTGGAACTCCTCACCTCACTGGTCTCTTAGGGTCCGAGGTGCTGCTGCTATGGGGATGCTTCCTAAAGCTTCATAAGGATTCCTGGTCCTAGTATAGAAACCCTGCATTCTAGTAGGTAGGTCCTTCAGATTCTTTTGGGGTGCAGGGCAGAGGGTGTCGGATTTGGAGTTCAGGGTGATTCGGGAGTGAGGCGGTGAAAGTTCAATGACAGTGCCCTAAGGCTCCTATTGCGGATACGGGCTTTCTAGGGGAAGGTTTGGGCTTTTTGGGGCTAAGATTCGAGCTTTCACTATGGGGGTCCAGGAGCCTTAGGGTGAAGTGACGAACTGCCGTTTTGATCACTCCGGCCTTGTTCCCACCGTCTCTACGGAAAGTGGGTCAAGTCATGTTGGTTTCAAGCTTTACAAGAGTACTGGCGGTGGCTTGCAGGTTGATTTTGCATATTAGGAAGATGTGTAACGTAAATGGTGTTTAGGAACTCACCAGGTAAAACTGTTGAATACGAGTTCGTCGCTGCAGTTGCCTAAGCTGTTCGTTCACGCGCAGGCCGAATCTGTCATGTTGACACCGGATTGCACTGTCGGCCACTTCATGCAACATGAGCCACCTTTCCGGACATCTCTGCGGACGACGCACCTGAGCTATATAGCAGATCACAAGTCAAACTTCTTTCAGGCTCCTGGGCCGTGACAGTCGGAAAAGCTAGGAGGTTCAAGATGCTAGGTTTGGAGTTTGGAGTTTTTCTTGTAGAAGCATGGTTTAGGGTTTAGGGTTTAGGGTTTAGGGTTTAGGCATCATCTCAGAAGCTGAGAAATGTGAGACCTTCTGTGTCAGTCTTTCCTCGGCTCAGAGCCGAGACACTCATCTCTGCAGAAGCTGCTTGACGGCTCTGTATACGTAACCCTAAGGGTCCATGTACTCATATAAAAGATACATTGGCCTTATAATGTAGTTCCTATTTAGGTACTTTAGGGTCTAAGTATATACTATATGGGTACATGGACCCTTTGGGTAAACTCACCGTAGAGGTTTGCGCTTTAATTGTCAGGGGGTCAAGGATTCGGCGCTCGGCGCACTTCAGTGCGTCAGTTCGGAAATATATGGAATATGGGAGTTTCAGAAAAATAGGGGTACCTTATTTTGGGGTCCTTATAATAGGGATCCTATTATTTAGGGTACTATATTAGGGTCCCCTCTTTTCGGAAACCCCCATATCGAGCCCAAGATCATGAAAATCCTTGCTACGGATCAGCAATTCTTGTGTATGCACTCGGAAGTTGCAGCAGTTGACCCGGCAAGCGTGACTCACGGTGCCACTCACTTTCGGTGGATCCCCTATACCCTAAACCCCCTATACCCTAAATAACCCATATCAAACACTCGAAGTTCGCAGATTAAGGGGTTTCCAGTTCCCGATCCCGAATCTTCTTCGTGCCAGCAAGATGCCACACGCCCAAGGTAACCTTGGCTTTTGGCGATTAGGCTCGGGCCCAAACACGAGGTTCAAATCCTAAATGCTCATATGAGGGGACCCTAAACCCTTAATCTACACTATACCGAACTTAGACCCCTAGCAAAAATTATAATTTTAGGTGCTTCTTAGGGTTTATAATAGCCAAAGATTAAAAATTATTTCTAAGTTCCCCTAAGTATAAGCCCCTAAACCCCTAACCCCCGAAGCCCTAGATGTCGAAGCGAGGTAAGCTCTCTCTCCTGGATCTGCTGTTGGAACCCTCCAAAGCTTCTACTGCTCCTTAACCCGCACATGAAGCCTACACCCAAGAGCTCAAGCCACGTTTCATCATAACTCCGGAAATCCTGCTCAAATTATCAGACCCCCTGACCCCTCTACAAAGCCCCAAACCCCAAACCCCCTATATAAATCCAAACTCCTTATCAAGCCTAAGCCCCACACCCTAAACCCTAAACCCCCTAAACAGAGAATCCGTATAAAGCCCTAAATCCTACCAACCGGAACTGGCAGGAAGCGATGATGGCTATCATCACGCCCAGGGCCGTCTTCTTCCAGGAGTCCTTGTACTCACCTTAGCTCTCGGCAGGGAAGGACTATTGGGGTTCAGGGGCTATAGGGTTTGGGGTTTAAAGTTCAGGGTTTAGGATTTAGGGGCTGTGGTTTAGGGATTAAAGTTCAGGGTTTAGGGTTTAGCTGATGACATTAAAAGCCTGTTTTGATTTCGAAAGATGGCTTCCCGATCAGGGTCTCCCTTTTCAACAGATTAGGAACTCAGAACCAAAAACACGCAGTCGAGAAGGATCTCTGCTTGACCAAGTCGCAGCTACCAGCATAGAGACGCATGGCCGAGCCAAGCGTCAGCTCGTCTTCGAGCCCTGCAGGCAGGCGAAGAGCGCATGCTCTGGTTGCCAATTTTAACCCAAGGGCTTTAGGGCTTTAGGGCTTTAGGGCTTTAGTAGGGGCTTAGGGATCAGGGTTTAGAGGCTTGGGGGCTTCAGGGGTTTAGGGTTCAGGGTTCAGAGGCTTTAGGGGTTTCGCAATTTAGGGTTCGAGGGTGCAAGTACCTAGTACTCATATACTCTCCCAAACAGGAAGCTAAATAACTACACCTCTAAACCCAGATACGTTGTTATTGGGTCCTTCGGACCCTTTCGGTTAGGACTTAAAGGCTTTGGTATGTACTATAACTCCTCGGGGCTTCAAGTGTCTAAATATAGTAGATGCTTAGCCCTGTAGGTAATTCAATAGGAACCCATTCAGGGCCGAAGTATATACTATGTAGGCACATGAAGACTTAGGGTTACATGACTGCCTCTAAACCCAAACCCTAAACCCTATTATAAACCTTATAAACCCCAAACCATGTAAACCCAAGGCCCTATAAACCCGAAGCCGTAAACGTTATAAACCCTAAACCTTATAAACCCTAACATGCCAGCCCGGATCCAAGCCTCAATGCCTCTAAGCTGAAAGGATCTATAAGAAAGTTGCACGGATTTAGCACCTCTGTCCAGGATCTGCTGTTGATGATATGAATCCTGCACTACCTTACAGTAAGGACCCTAAACTATGGGGATTATGGTAATGCAGGGTTTAGATCATCAACCGTAGTGCTACGGGTTTAGAGGTTTAGTTGTGTAGGGTTTAGGGTTGAGCGGTTTTGGGCCCTAAACCCTAAACCCTAAACGCTAAACTCTCGAGGGACCGGCCTGGGAGCTCGTCCAGGTTTTTGCATCTGCGGTGCATAGGGCACTTGCCTCAGGGGTTTAGGGTTTAGGGTTTAGGGTTCAGCATCTTCAGCGGCTCTTGCCCACGCACAAATTATATAAATATCTTGAGCACATATGCCCGATGCATCCATGTATAAATGTGCAAACTACGGTGTACCCTAAACTCACTATATAGGACGCTCTTTAAACCCAAAATAGATCCACTGTAAAATTTGCTTATCGAACCCTGAAAGATCCCCATCTAGACAACTTTTACTTTTTCTGGTGTTTCGGGCTTAGGGTTTTGGGTGTGGGGTGTAGGGTTCTGTACATCAGACCCTTCTGATGTGCAGGTAAGTGGACTGCTCGGGATGGCATTTCGGAGAGCATGACAGCAGGCTTGGAACTGTGAGGTTACGTCCTGGGTAAGTATGCGCTGTATACAGTAAACCCCAACAAAGCTAATGTAGGGGCCTTAATAATTAGAATAGGGTTTTGGGGGTTCCTTTTTTTGTTACAGTATAATATACCCCAGAATGAGCAAGCGGAAACAGGATGAATAGTGGTGGTATTCCCGAACCTTTGATTTGGGGCACGAGGATAAACACCAAAAAGCCAGTGAAGCAAGCGGAAACACGGCAGCACCAGCATTCGGATAAGATTGCTTTGGGAACTCCTGGATCGGACTCCGCGCATCGGTTATCAGAAAGTTAACCTGAAATCCTAAACCCTTGAACCCGAAGCCTTGCTTAGGCGTCAGGGATTGTTCGGGTTATAGACCTTATGAGTTCTGTTTTTGATAGCCGCTGTACCCTAAACCCGAGGCCCTGCACCTCTACAGGCACTTTGAAATCCGACTACCAGCTCCGATCTACGACCTATCGCTGCAAGCTGAAAGACAGAGCGAATATTGAAGGACGCATGGCAAATCACTACGGTCACTACCACGATGGTTATTAGTTACCAGTATGGTTGCGATTCTGGCTTCCCCCACACACTGAGCTGCCAAGTAGCATTTCAGCTGTTGCAACTCGGAAGGGACAGGATCGCATCCCTGCGAGGATTGCTCAGACAAGACAAGAACTCTACGACGGAGGGATTCGGCTTTAGATGAATATCTCACTGCCTGGAGCTTGCAATCCAGGAATGCGTGCAGTAGTCATCAGTGTCCGAGGCTGCAGCGCGTTGGAGACATGCTAATGACGGATTTCAAACCCCTAAACCCTAAACCCTAAACCCTAAACCCTAAACCCTGAACCCTAAACCCTAAATTCAAGAGAGCCTGACACATGGAGCTCGGGGCTGCAAACCAGCGGCTTGGATTCTGCACTTCCGATGGACGAATAGAGACATACCTAGACCCCCCAACTACCCTCTATTATTCTCCAAATACCCACTATTAAGGACCATAAGGGCTCTATTAAAGGGCCATTGGGGGGTCCTGGTAGAGAGCAGACAATAGGATTGACCTTCAGCTAGAGCTCGACAACTATGAAGTCCCCAAGCACAGAAAACCGAAAGACCTGAACCTCAGGATCCCAAGTACCCATCTTAGGGTTTAGGGTTTAGGGTTTAGGGTTTAGGGCTTAGGGTTTAGGGTTTAGGGTTTAGGGTTTAGGGTTTAGGGTTAGTAGAATCTAGGCCCATGTAGGGCTTCTATAATAAGGAGGTATGGTACCATGACTTTGGCAAGTCAACTCCCCCCCATAGCAGTACCAAGGATCCTTTAAAACTTGGGGCTTGAACTCCAGAAAACTTCTTCATCAACAAAGCCGAAAGCCGCAGAAACCTCCTGTAAGCCGGGGCCGAATTGAAGCCGACAAGGGTTTCGGGTTTGGGGTTGATAGGGTTCAGGGTTCAGGGTTTAGGGTTTGGGGGACAAGACACATCCCCTAAGCTTTGGGGGGGCAGCTGGATGCCAAACCGCAATCCGAACGGACCACAGGACCCTGCATCTGATTGGGGCTCTATATCCTTAACTTTCAACTTACTTCCCCAAGAAAACTTTCAGAGTACCCCTAAACTATAATGCCCAAAATCTGTTAGAGGTTGGGTAAGTGGGGAACTGAGTCAACCAACTATAGGATATGAGCCATAGACCATGAGGGTGCGCCGATGGTCCTTAAGCCCATGTGTTTCTGCGGCGACAGTGCACCGACTGCTCGAAGCCCAGAAACCCGCAAGCTCACGAGCTTCCTACGCGAAGCAAAAAACCGTGAAGGATGTTAGGCATAGTAAGTGAGTAATTCAAGGGCTTCATAAGAGTTAGAACTGGGTTTGGGTGTCGGTTAATTAGACCATGATGATGCATATAAGGGACACTAAACTCCTAAACCCTAAACCCACTTCACTAGACGAACATCAGAATCATTCTTCCGACCCCTGCGTGCCTTGTTCTCCCAAGCTCCAGAACTTGGACATCTGCCTGTCGTTCAGTTTGCTTCGGACGAAGGGGTCTTGGTGTCTGACGATGTATTGGATCTTGGCATGACGCCCTCAGGACCCTCAGGTGCCTCCATTCTTCTCTTTTAAGACATCCTCCAGGCTTTTCTCCAACTGAAACTGCTGGCCGTAGGCGCCCAGAATCGCCTGCTCGAGCAACAGCAACACGAACTCTGGTAAAGTTGCAGCGATAAAAAACAGGAGTAGTACTACTAGATCAGAACATACAACTATAAGAGTACTAGAATAGCACTACTATACCAAAATATGGTGTTTATATTATAAACTCCAGGCTCTGAGCCCCAATTTGCTGTCATCCTTTGCCCAGACGGCATTTTTCATCAACGGCAGACTTCTTGGTCCCTCGGTGCTTTTGGTGCTGAGGCTTTTGCCTTGGCCCTTGCCGCCCGGGCTTGTTTTTTTTATTGTTATAGTAGTACTATTATAGTACCATTATAGTGCCATTATAGTGCTATTATAGTACTGTTATAGTACCATTATAGTATAGTAGTACTGATATTTTGCGAAGCCCAACTCCAAGTCCAAGCCTTCAGCTGCGTTTCGTTGACCGACTTCACAAGCGGCTCGTCCTCGCTTCGAAGGGAGCTTGCATGGGCACAGGGCTTGGGACCGCGGCGTTTGGGAGTCTCAGGTATAGTTGCCGCAAGGCCAGCAAGTACTAGCGAAGCTCAGGGAATACATGGAAAAGCAAGACCTTGCGTCTCAAGCCCAAATCCGCGAATGTGGATTCAAACCTGGACCCCGCTATGAGAAGATCGTGCCATGACGGCGTTCAGTAATCAGAGCTCAATGCTCATGTCACCCACAGCAGACAACAGCGACAACTGTTTGAGTTGTCGCGGGACCAGACCTGGTAGTCAGCATTGTCACTAATCTCGCTTTCTGCGTCAGCAGGTCCAAAGCACAATCACGAAAATGCCCTCAAACGACAAATCACGAAGTTCATGGGAATCAATGAACGCACAAACTGGAGGACCATGTAGGACCATGATTTCAACAGGTAAAACAGGTTGCAGGCGAGGAAGCAAAGCCTAAGCAAAGCGAGAGGAAAATAAACACACGCCCCAACATTCAACACCAGACACATGCACCGAAACGCACCTGAGTTTTGGATCCTATATTTTAAGTCGTCCATGGCAACCATTGAGTTGGTCCTCCTGTTTGATGAAAGTCTCGTCATCCAGGACGGCCGGTTCCCTGATGGCATGGATCCTCGCTTGCTGGAGGGCTTTGGGTTTGATGCCGAGAAAAATAGCGGGTTCAATCCTCAGTACTCTAGCCCAACGAAGGTCAACCTTTTGACTATGGCTGGATTAAATGAACCCAAACCCCTACAAAAGCAGTCTGTTTGCTATGTGTTCACAACCCCACATTATGGACTGGGGCTTCTCTGTTTCCAACATGGAGTTCATCAGGTTTGCGGATTTCTGGCCGGGGGTTCTTGTATGGAGTATGGAGGATCTTACTCTTGCCTCTCGATATTTTAAGGAATCAATTGCTCGCTAAACCCCCCCCCCCCACAACTCTACTGTTCGGAAGATACTCTTCGACGCTAGACCTCCAAGACCCTGCGACACAAGACTCTGAAGAGTCCGGGACCCAAAAAGCCTGACGCCTCAAACCCCGCAAACACCCCAAAACAAAGCCGCCCGCAAACCCTATGCCAAGCCCAGCATTACAAAAAGGAAAACGAAAACTTTCAGAAACCCAGCGAGGGTCTTGTGAAGTGTGCAAGCAACGGCAAAGAGCTGCGCCTGAGATGCGAGATTGGCTCAGAAGCTAAGCTGAGAAAGGTCGGTACTTCTCAAGGATGCCTGTCAAAGGATGAACTGTGTATGTATGCAGGTATGTATGTATGTGTGTGTATATATATATATATACGATTGTTTTTATGTTTATACCTGTTTGCTTGCTTGAACGCGTGTTTGTGTTTGTTTGTGTGCATACATGCTTGTTGTAAATATTCGTGTGTTGATGTGTTGGTTTCTTTATCTTTTAAGGTAGTATTTGTTCATTCATGTATTTATTCAGCGCTATTTCATTTTCATTAGTTGAAATTTACTGGCTTTGCCAAAGAGAGAAGAAGGGCCCTTCAAAGGGATAGCACAGGGACCTTTAGGGTTAGGCAGGAGGTTTAGATTTTTGGGGATTTAAGGGTTTATAGGGGTTTAGGCTTTAGAGTTTAGGGGTTTGGGTTTTAGGGGTT